TTTGTTTGTTTGTTTGTTTGTTTGTTTGTTTGTTCATGTGATCCACTTGTGAAATCAGTTCTGTATCACTGAAAGTGCTATCATTTTAAAAACAATCTAAATAACTAAATAAATGTAAATTAAACATATTTCTGTGTGGTTTTTTTTAGCGGCATATTGACTGGGAATCAGCAGCCAACTTCTTGAAAGGAATTTACATTGCATTACAACGCAAAAGCATCATCGCTCATTTGCCAAACTTGAGAGTAAGAATAAGGTTCATCTCAATAAATAAAGAAAAAACATCACAACATTGTGCATAACACTATTTAATTATTTGCATATATACTATGGAATTTATACAATATATGGATTAGGAAGCCATATCACAATAGACACACTATTAAAGTTGCGTAAAATATGATTTCCTCGTAGTCTCTGCTTAACATCTGTTTGGCGTTGCTGCTTTCTGATGGATCCTCGTCTGGAGGTGGTGACGGACAGCCTTTGAACCTGACAGGCCCACCATCCCATGAAGTCCGTATGACACCACCGGCCGTTTTCTCAACTGCGGTCATCCGAACCGTGGCGATGCAGATGCACTGTATGAAGGTACCAATGTTATATTATTGTTACTTATTTTTTTGATGTGAATTATAAACCGTGGGCTACGATTGGCTGGATAGAGGACTTAGCTTAATGCACTTAACCATGCAACTTACCACGTAGTAACGACCTCTCCCCGTAGCAGTCATATATATTTAGATTTCTTCACTAGCATGCTCTTAAATAATTAACAACATTTTATTAATTGAAATTTTGTTAATTGTTTGCACTTGAATTATACATAAGTGTTTTTTTATCTTCACATTTTTTTCTGATTAAAGAATATATAAGATGTCCAATTTGTAATGTCAAATTATTTGTCATGTCACATTATTTTTCATAGGATCAGCTAAGACATTCATAACATAATAAAATGACTTTAAGTGGAATGAACATCTTATCCAGTGATATGTCATATGTGACATGTGCCCATGAAACCTCAACACAGTCGCAGCATATACTGTAGGACATTTTAAAACAGAATTACATTCTATATTATTAGCTTTAGAATGGTATATAACTTATTAGATTTATTAGTTATTTTAATACATAATTAACTGAGGCATATCCATATCTTCAAAATTATTTGGGGCAGGGTGTTGGGGGAGTGTGCAATGGGAAGGTAAGGAGATGATAGTTGGGAACGAGAGTATATATGAGATGCTTTTTAATTACTTAAGTTAAATTTTCCTGCTCTGTAAATAAACATAAATTGGAGAATAGGGGGCATGGGGTACTAATTCTTTCTGAAGAATTGGGCTCTTCACTGTTAAATAGACCATTATTGATAATGAGCAATAGACAAAAACAAACAGTGAACAGAAAAATTGAGCCTAGCAACAAATCTAAACAATTAGGCAAGACTTTATACCTTGTTGCACAAACAAAAATTGTCTGAGGAGGGCGGAAAAAAAAACGTTTTGTTTTCTTATTAGCAAATATTTTGCCAAAAACATCCAGACACGGAGAAAATAAAAATAAAATTTTATTGGTGAATGTAAACAGTGTAGTAATGGGATGGTTAAATGCTTTTAATTTATATAATTTATATAATGGGGAAGAAATATACATATCTTATTTTTGGAGCATGAGGTGTTTCTATCCTTTACCAATTCTTGATCTTGATTTCTAACCATTTGCTCTTAAATTGGATTATAATCATAGATTCTGTAATTTATTGCCCATGCAAGGTCTGCTATACTATACTATACCATAGGTATGGTATGTGATTTATTGACAACTTGCTGAAAAACTAATTACCAATGCTGCTCTCTAGCCCTGTTCATATCCAACTATGGCGAGATAATTTTAGTGGATGAGCTAGATGATCTCGCCATAAGTTTGAGTATGACCGTTCAAGTATGGCGAGATGAAGGCCACAACTCGACTATGCCCGTCGAGTAAATTTATGTCGACTAACTTCTTAATCCAGCCTAAAGCCAGTAAACAATTAAACAGCGGGTGGCCACAGGTCACGAATACACCAATCAAATTGAAGCAAAGTGACCTTCCATGCTTGCTGGTTAGCGCGTTTTTTAGTTACTGTCATAAACACCATTCAGAATTGACGCAGTCTCCCTGATCTGTGTACTTTATTTTCAACAAGTCTTATTTTGCAAATGATGGCTGAAAAGTCAGTAAAGAAACGTCATCTCTTGGACGTATGCTCAGGAATATTTAATAAATATCTGGAGGGAGCCAGAAATCGCCGAAAAAGTTGAAGATAAATTGTATCGTCAGAAGGCTGGTGTCCAGGAAAGAATAGCAGAGAGAATGCGGGACTTGGGCCACATAACATCGGCAATTGTTGTGACAAAGTTGAAAAATCTAAGAGCAGAACACAAGGCTGTGAGAGACGTTTTTATTCGTGGGACGGGCAAGGGGTCGGCCAATGTAATAAGGGATGACCCGAAATCGGCATGCCCACACTATCAAGCACTAAACGAAATACTTGTGGGAAAACCCAGTGTAAACCCTCCAGCTGGACTCCTCGGCCAGTCTAATTAACCGCCGAGACCTAGGCCTAGCTTACGCCTATAGTCTCGATCTAGATCCAGTAATTACCCACCATGCGATTGTACTTCCTGTCTAATGATGTGTTTTCCGAATTTCTAGTAGTCAAAATATCTCGCTCTAAACCTTAACGTCGAACGCGATTAGTGGATTTAATCCAATTAACTTGGCAAGTAGATCAGCTACTTTATCTGGCTATAATCCCATATGAACCTAGCTTCTCTTTTGATATTGAGTTGATTGTCAGTTACGGCATGTTAATTTCATTGCAAAATATGGTTCCTCAACCCATCTGAGCTATTGCTGAAACAGGTATTGTGGTAAAGGGAATAGCTACAGCATGGATTTCAAGGCAGCGGCGGGCGTAATGAACATTTTAAAAAAAACTTATTTTTTTCCAAAATTTGCAATTTTCGTGGTGCTAATTGGCCAAAAATATAATCTTATTTTTATTAAATCATCATTATTGGTGGGCAGTGGGTTTGCTAGACAAAGTATAAAAAATGTCTTGCCTTATGTTTAATTCTAAAATGTAGTTGTCAAATTTGATGTGGTGACAATTCTGTAAGATAATGTTTAGTTACCTAAACATAATATAAGACTTATTCAACACCTAACAAATTTATGTACCTTTCTGAAGTGTTATAAAAAAACTGACTAATGAGAACAGTTTCAGAAATATAGCCATATCCCTCATGCTTACACTATGTTTTGTGGCCAATCTTACCAACAATATCCAAGGGTAGAACTTAGTGGAATGGTCTACTCTATTATTCTATTATTAATATTCTTAAAATAATTACTTGACTGTGCTGGGTTTCATGGTTTTTTCCCATGTCATAAAAATTGTTAAAAAACTTATAAAAATAAAATTATGAAGTATATGTAAATTATATATATTTTATATATGTGACAGCTCGACTATTTCACTATCAACAATTCCTTTCACCTGAAATTATAGTTTTTGTCATATAACCTCACCCCCATATATGTTTAGAATTTCTCTCTTAATGTGAAATATTATTCTTGTTTTTTATTCTGTATAGAATTAGATCTTTCTCTGTGTTTTTCCCCTAGTTTTTTTTATAGAATTTTTCAGAATGTGAAATGTTTTCTATGAATCCATATACTGTGCATATACTTCTACAAAAGTATTCTGTTGCTGAAATTGTTTTTGTGGGAAGACAAACTTATTTTTTCAAAATTAAAATTTATTCAATATTTTTTTTGCTGCTGCTATATCATTGACTGAATATTCCCATCATGCATTGCACTATTTATTTCCTCTTACTGTTTTTATATCATCTAAGCCTTTGATCCCATGATGCATTGCAGTAATTTATGTTATTTCCCACCATACATATTCATTCCCATAATGCATTTTTACATACTCTTATGACTTATGCTCATTTGCCTTTGCCCAAATATTCACATAATGCATTGCTGTTCTGTATCAAATTTCCATATGCTGCAATTATATTGTTGACTATGAATATCCCATGATGCATTGCATTTTGTGATTTAGCATGATTTTTAAATATTTGTACTCTTATTTGTTGCATGCTCTTTTTTTTAAATCAACCCTTTTTAAAATTCAACACTAATTTGCATATTTACACCTGTCCTACCAGCATGTGTCATAACTATGGAGATACTAGGTAGGCATTTTTCAAAATAAGTTATGAATATACAGTGAGATTTAAAATTGCCATAATTTGAAACTATCAACTGCTTATGGAAATGTTTTGAAAAATAATAAAACATTTTAAAAACTCCCAGTGTCCTAATCTTACAAATTTGATATTTGTGTTTATTATTTTTCTTCTGTTTAGAAAAATGTTATTAGATGATATATATTTATAATTTAATTTTTGTATGGGTTTTATAACTATTTTAAATGAATTAAGATATGTTTATAAAAGTTTTAGAAATCTAAATAAAATTTCTGTTTTTTGTCTTCAGTTTTGAAATTTAGATTCTAAAAGAAAGAATTGAACAGATTTCCAAGATTTAGATGAAATATTTTAATTTCCATGGTAATCATGCCACTCCCTTGGTTAAGTCCCTTCACATTAACGAACTTCGCTGTAAACCCCCTGCTGTGCTGACCCCTTGTAGGTTGAAGATATCATTCATGTTTCATTCCTCATTTATTCATCCACTCATTCAGGCATTTATTTATTTGTTTGTATTCTTCAGTCGCCTTAGTGAGAGTTAAATTACAATTATTTAATTTTTAACATTATTTTCATCAAATCTTTTAAGAATAAATATTCAATGTTTTCTTTCATTTTTCATCATTTTCTATGATTCTAACTTTCAAACATTTTTATTAACAGCATTTATATTAAAACATTTAGGTAGTACTTTTTAGATTATCAGTTTGTTGTATAATTGGAGAAAGTGCCGCCTTTGTGTTTATTTATATGCTTTCGCTCAACAAACACTGCATTCCAACCAAATACCAATATCATTTTTTAATTGTTTATCCATATACTGCTTCTTTATGCCAGTATATGGTGCTTCAATCACTAACATTTTGTAGTTAATTCTTATAAATTTTTATTTCTATTTTATTCAATTTCTTCCCCACTTTCAATTATCAGAATTTAGTGTTGTCTTCCATGAAGAAATTCAAATTGATAATTTGGTATCCAAATACAACCACAATTTACTATTTTTTTTGAATGTCAGTTTTCATAAATTTTTTGTTACAACCCACTTTTTTCAAATGCTCCAACTATATATTTTTTTCTAATTTATATTTTAATTGCATACAAATTTTACTTGGGGTTCATTTGTAAATATTAAAGACCATTTTATAAATATTTTGATAATTTATTTTGAATATTAAATTAAATATTTATTACTATTGTTAAATTTTGTGTATTGTATCATATGTTTATTTTATCAAGCAAATATTGATTAAATAATGATAATATCCATTTAAAATATTGATTAATAGTTGATTGAAATTTGGATTAAATTCTTCTCATTCTCAATCTCATCATTGTTTGATATCTTCCAACCTGCCATAATTGTTAGCTGGTAGTTGTTAGTTTACTAACCATTTTATCTTTATGTACATTGATGTTTGTGATTGGTGATTTGTTTGGTCACATGCTTGCACACAGCATCAGTATTGGCTGAAACTCAAGGCAAGTAGCCAATCATATTAGTTTATTCGCTGGGCCACTAATAAACATAGTACAAAATTTACAAAAGCATGACCAATAAAAAAAAATTGATTTCATTACTGAAATGTCATATGGAGGGTTTTATTGCCTTTATGAATATTCATAGCCATGATATTAATATTCATAAGGTCTACTTATGAAATGTTAAATTTCATGTGTTTTGTTATTAAATGTGTGTATCCATTGGTTACCATACTGTATTATATATTGTTGGTGAATTATCTGTTATTTGTTGTGGTGACATGTGACTGACATATTTCTGGAGATATAACAGTGTTTGTGTTTGTATCTGTCCTGATTCAACTTGTTTGTCTCATCCAGCATTATAGATAAAAACCCTGGTGTTTATGTAGTGTTTCAGAGTTTGTTTTCAAAAATTGTTACACATTTTTTCCTCTGGTTTATAGTTTTAAGTATTCGCTTGCCTGTGGAATGTCTCTTCATTTAGAACTTCTGAAATCATCTGCTTTTGCATGCTTGCAAACTTGTACTGAGCATGTGTAGTAAAAACACCGAGTATATTTCAAAATATCTAATTGTGCCTTGGGTAATGTCCATCTTAAATCCATATTAATATTGTGTCCATTTTGTTCACACCATATTTTACTTTAATAATATCTGGGTGTCCACTTACATTGTTTTTTTAGTACTTCATTTACATATTGTTGATCGATAAGGAGTATTATTATTATTATCATTTGCATATTGCCTAGCAACAGATAGGCAGTTCATTGATTGGTTGATTAACTGATATTTGGTTGCTTTGCAGTTATTTTAATCTGTGAACATGGTCTGTAATAATGTTAATCTAATAATCAATGCACATAAATTAACAACCAATATCGGATATATTTTGAACAGTGGATTCGTTTAGGTATGGCATTGTAATTTGCATTTCTTGACAGGCCATTGGAAGTGTTCATTCACATGTATTGGTGCAGTTTGTCCTATTTAATCGGTTTACACTTTCCATGATGATAAAGATAATTATTACCAAAATTAATCATTATCATCTTTCCAATCATAATGGTTTTGTCTACAGTTGTTATATTCGTTGTTGAAATATATTCCTTCTCAAATCATCATTATCTTCATTCTTATTACCATCGTCATTATCACTATCATCATTATCTTCATTCTTATTACCATCGTCATTATCACTACCATCGTCATTATCACTATCATGATTTTATTTCAACCATAATCTTTATTGTCGATTTATCAATTTATTTACCATTTGTTAAATAACATTAGAATTTCATGTGATGGTCACTTAAATTACAAAAATTACAATTACAAAACTCATAAATTATAATCAATATTATAATTTATCATCATCATTAGTATTATCATTATTATTATTAACTTTAAAATTATTATTACTATCCATCATCATTAATATTAGTAATATCATCATTATTAGTGATACCATTATAATTATAACTTCAAAATTGTTAATAGTATTATCATCATCATCATTATATAGTGCAGCTTAGCCCAGTTGGCTAAATTGGTGATCGTCACTGTTGTGTGCTGAAACCATTTTTTACATGACATTTAACCTTTGGTACAGTGCACTCATTAGAAAAATGTGGGGGTTTGCTTCCTGGTGTACTGCCCAGTTCACTAACAATAGGGAGCTTTTGATTGCGCGACGACGGTAGGACGTAGAACGTAATGACGTCAGTAAAAGTCATCTGCGTGTACGAGAACATTAAGGTCACTTTGTCTAGTAGATTCTGGAACGCAATTTGGCCAAATCCACGTATGCAGAGAATGTAGGACGCCAGGTAGGACGGTCATGCATGAGTGATTCCGTTCTAGCGTCGCGTCGTCGTACAAATCGAATGCTCCCTATTATAACCACACTGAAATTAATTCTACGACCTTTCATTGGCTATCCTTAGTACCTGTATATATCATATCAAAGGAATACTATTCAGTCATTAAGGTTATTGTCATTAGTATGTGCATCGTCATTATTATCTTCGTCACATCAGCAGTACCCTTTTCGTTATCGTCATAATCTACACCATCTTCATCATTATCATCGCAAATTATCATCACCACCATCTTCGTCATCACCACCATTTTCATTAATAACAAAATCTTCATCTGTACCCTCATTGTCACCTACATCATCATTATTGTTGTCAACAATTGTCATCATTGTCATCATAATTCTTGCATATTATTGTCACCATCATTGCACAATTATCATGTGTCATCAATTTTTAGTGATTCACAAAATTTGAAATGCTCCATCCATTTCTATGTTGAACATCAAGTGAAACCACTAGATAATATATTTTAATTGTGTTACTATGCCAACTACTAATCATCTAACCCATTTAATGTAAACATTTGGCTTAATGCATTGGTGTATTTTATCTGGTTGTTTATTGGTTAGTAGTTGTTGGTTGAATTTTAAAAATTGATAGTGTATTTTATATTGATGATAATTTGATTGTTTTAATTGATTATTAATTGATCATTTTGTTGATAAATGATTTTTAATATTTAATATTTTTCTATAATTTACAATACATCACTATTATTTTGAATACATTAAAGTTTTAATGATTTTATATTTATTTATGAAATTGTTATTAATTAGTTAATATCGTTATCATTAACTATATTAACTTAATATTAAATTAATATATGAGTATATTATTAGTCCATGCAAGCATGGGTTAGACTAATATATAGTTAATAGATCGATTAATTGATTGACTGATTGATTGGTTGATTATTTAGGACACATATACCCTAGAACAGGTGTTTGGTGGTATGCCGGTGTTCTCGTCCCAGGAAAGGACAGAAAGTATTTTGCTCCATCTTATCCTACCACTTATTCTACGAGTTGGTTGCGCCAGAAAAGGTAGACTGAATTTTTAAACATTAATTGCTTGATGTGTGATAAGATCAGATAAAGTTTCTGACAGTCTTTATTTAAAAGAATATTTTAATAAACATTTTATTATTAGTTGCATTATCAATAAATGAATAATAATAAAGATTTGTATAGAATGCATATCCATCTCAAGGAAATGGACTTGAGATGGGGGAAAAACCCAGCAAAAAGTATGAACAAAATTATTACTTGAAAACAATATTATGCTAACTATCAAGAATAAGTGCCCCTTAAATAATTGGTTGAAAAATTAGAACGGATTATGCACCATTTTAACACTTCAGTACGAAGTGTTGCTCTCGATGAAATACTTGTTTCAAACAAGTGCCACACTGAAACATCCAAAAATTTCATTATTGCTGTAATGCTAATTTGCTAATTTATGGTCAGTCATAAAATTTAGAAAATAATAAAAGAATCTAAAGCAGAAAAACAAAGAAAACAATTTTTTTGTAAGGGTTTCTATTCAAACACTTAATTATCAAATTGTTCATGATTTTAGACTCACCAAAGATTCGAGAAAAAGATGTATCATTTGCACTGAGCATGATAATCTATGCGTTACTCCCACCGAATAAACAACGTATTCCAACGTCTACGAAGCATCATCACACGTCATCCTTTTCGGAATTACCAAGTCATTCAGGTATAACATACCGTGACCCAAACGCCCCTGTGTCAGAATCGCTGTATGAGGCTGCGTTTCTTGGTATGTCGTTTAAAAAATTCTTTGATATTCACTTATATGTCATTTGTTGATCTATTATTGACTTTTAAAAATGTTGACATAATGTGAACCACTTATTAACAGTGTTTACTGAGGCATCTAAGCGTGACCAACCTTGACTTGCCAGCGTGTGATTTCAACTTTTTACTCCTCACCATGTCATTCAGAATCTGAATGGAAAACGCTATGCCAATCTGTTGAGCATTTATTGTTGAATAATTGTTCTGTATCTTCTTTTGTTATAATACAGTAGTAATAATAATAAATATGATTTAAGTGCTCGCACATATCCACTTAGAAAGTGCTCAAGGCGCTAAAGACGGAAACATGAAAAAACTGGAACTAGAAACCGTAGAAGTTAACCCATGTTCATATTTATGTAACCTGCACCTTTTTTTATTTTACGTATTTTAAGTTTATGTTCTTTGTTATGAAAACATTGGAAACTGAATTTCATGTGAACTGGGTTGTTCACAATGACAATAAATTATCTTGTATCTTGTATGAAATGTCCTAACCTAAAACCAGTAAAGAAACCAGTAAATCAATAAAGATTTCTATTATATTTTTTAAATTTTTTATTATATTTTTGTTGAAACACTACTGAACATAATTTTCTTGTTGAAAGGTTTGAAAATCATGATCGTATGTTTTGAGAAGCAACTTGGTTCTGATTGGTATCGCATTGCTAATACGATCAAAGAAATGGGCTCCAAAATGCTTGGCGGTGACGGTCTCTGGAGCTTCTTGGATTTCGTTCTCACTGTCCGAACCCCACTGTACATCATGCTACAACCATACATTGCATTTAAGGTACAGTATATTTGTAGTTTAATACTACATCACCCTCCAAAAATTTAATATAAATAATGATTTGATTTATATAGTACATGAGCTCCATGGTACATGTGTAACATTACAATTGCAATCATCAGAAAATGTAACTTCCAGGATTGTTAATCAAATACAACAACTGACCAATCAGAACAGAGCGTGGAATCATTCATCATTTTAGTTTTAGTGTCCAATTTTAAAAAATAATAAGTGTTGTACCAAAAATACATTGTTTTGCTTATTTTTACACTGTCATTTTGTGGGACCTAATAAATAAAAAAAAGGAAGAAAATATAGTAAAGTTTCATTGCATTCCAAATTTGAGTTAATTGTTTATTAACAGTTAGTTTCATGCTTAGTTCTGTATTGTTATTGTTTGTGTTGTCGCCCAAACTATTATAATAACAATTTTAAACAATTTCTTATAATCTCGAAAGCTCTGATGAGGGTAGTATAACAGAGACAGTAAAGTATATTGGCCCTAACGGCCGCCCATACAAAAAAGATCTGTTAATCAATTGTCCGAGACTTCTAGAGCTCCTTATCGGAGCTAAAATGAAATTTTTAGACACAAAATTCACCAATGTGAGTGAAAGAAAACCATATCTTTTGGTGGTATTATAAACAAAATACATCCAATAATTGTCCAGTGTATTTACAATTCTACTTTGTCAGATGTTAAAGATGATTTGTGAAACAGATGATGAGACCAATTTCCAGCAGTACATTGCAAAGAAATTAAGATGTCACTTTGTACCACAACCAAAGTCAAAGCGAGAGACATTGACTGAGCTGGCTCAAGAGGTTCGCTATCTTAGGGACCATATGTATGTTCCAAGAGGTAAGGCAAATGTTGGTAATGTGTATAAGAGTGAGATCAGAGGCAGAACTAGCAATGACACAGAGCTTAAACCCTCCCATCTGACACTTTCTGTCACCTTTTGTCCCCAGTTCAAGTCCAATCGCTGCTGTGCTTGTATTTCAGCTGGAGGGCTGAATGCATGTTGCAATTTTACCATACCTTCGGACAAGACATTTAAGCAGTTGGTCCTGTGTGCATTATGGCCCATGCGCATGTTAAGGATCGCAGTACACTCTTTAGAAAAAAGGAGATCTCCCGGTGTACTGCTCAATCACAACCAAGAAGGACCCACTGGAAATAAATCTTCTTCAGATTTCCGAGGGTTATCCTTGTTTATACCAAATTAATCCATCCATCCATTCAAAAAAAGTTTTTTTATTTTAAAATTCTTTAGGTGTTTAAAACATCTTAGAATGATCCAAAATTGTAAACATGTTTACTTGTCTAACAACTTCATTCATGTAAAAGTCATTAATTGCCCTTTCAGATCATTCAAAGATGTCGGAGGAGGTATTGGAGGGTAACTGCCAGCCAAAGACGGGTAGGACACCACCATTCTTCAGGAAGTCATCGCTGCTGAAGGACAGACTCACAAGGAAAAGTAAGCAAATATCTAGCAAATAATAGTGCCCCATGTAGCCCTGTATCAGCAATAAACACAAGGCCACTGAAAGCAGCCCTATCTCCCAGTATTGCACAACTGCCAGGCTCCCAATAGGGTGTCTAGTGTTGAATGGCGGTGTGTGATTGGGAGTGTCAGAAAGCTTCCAAAAAGCCACTATGAATTTAGCTATAGAATTTAGAAGGCTTATTTAGGCATATACTGTAGTTGTATTCTTCCAAACTGAATGGCATTTTTTCATCATGCTCTATTTTTTCACACTAGTGGTCCAGTCCCCAGTAACAATTTCCCCAGCTGTCCCCACTCTCAGCCCTAGTGTATTTAATACATTCTCACTATATATTTTTTTTTATTATGAACCCTTAATTTTTCATTTTTTTCTAGCTACAATTCGTAATACCACAAAACGCACCAAGCAGAGTACTCGACGTGTGCGCCACTCGGTGCGAGGTGGACGTGATAACGCAATGGAGCTTACAGAGGTCTTTCGTGAGAACCTTGAAACACCCCCAACAGATGTGGTGGATGCTGTTGAGGAAGCTAAGCAACAAGAGGAACCTTTTGAGACTGAGGAAAGCCCTCAGTCATCCCCTGTCTCTACCGTAGAAACTCCTAACAATTCTCCCGGTAAGAAATTCCAACGCCGGATCAAGAAAATACCTGGTAATATAGCGAGCACAAGAAGGCTGCGGTCGGATGCACTGACCAGAAGCATGGAAACACTGCAAGAGGACTCCATTCCAGGTATTTAAAAAAAGTCAATGATATCAATAAACTTATTGTAGTTCGACAGTAAGCTACAGTATTACTAGTTTGGTGTCCAAAGAATTATTTCAAGTGGGACTCTTCCGGTTGTGTATTTGGCAGTTCACCTGGAGACCATCCCCTGCAGTCTTTAACAAGCACATGGGTCATATTTGCACACAGGACCAACGACTTTTCTAAAAAAAATGACTTGCTATTCTAAAATGGTCTCCATTCATCTCTGTATCTTTGGAAGTCATGCCACATTTCAAATACTTCTGAGGGATAACATAACCTTGGAAATCTCTAGGTACCCGGTTCAATTTCCATCGTTGCCTCTCCTTGTATTTCAGCTGGAGGGCTGAAATACAAGTTACAATAGCGCACTGTCTTTCGGATGAGACGTTTAAGCCGTTAGTCCTGTGTGCATTTATGGCTCATGTGCCCGTTAAAGAACACAGTAGGAGATTGTCTTCTAGTGTACTGCACAATCACCACCAGAAGGAGCCCACTGGAAATAATTTGTCTTCTAGACTTTCATGGGCTCTCCTTGGTGCTTACACCGAATCCAATCCAATCAAACATATTTGAAAATCTTATTCACAGTGCATCGAGAACTGGAGCAGTTCCATCATTTGCATGCGTGTCTGTATATACAATATGCACATATGGTACATATATGTACATAAACTGTTTTTCTTTTTCTCTCAAGATGTTCAAGAAAAGGAAGAAGGCTTAGAGAGTGCTACTGAATTCTGTTCCTTATTAGGAGTAAAGCAGGAGTCGCTAGGCAACAAAGATGATGATGTTGAGTACACAGAAGAGACCGCCTTACTCTCGGAGGTCATCATTATTGATGGTACAAGAGAAAACGGTGTTGATAGTAACGTGAAAATTACTTAAAAAGATGTCCAAAGCTTTTGATGCTGTTGGGCTTTCTTGCTTAAAATATATGATTTAAGATAAAAAGTGTGTGTATGACAAGATTCTATTAAATTACTTTTACGCACAATAAATTATTTATAATGCAATGAAAAGGCCACTTGCAATCAAAGTGTAACTAACTTATCAGATCATTAAATTTATCTATATAACTAATTTATCTATAAAGAGTTTATTAAATCTATTATTTAATAGTAACGTATTTGATTTCAGAAATTCTGCTTTACAGTTTATATCAGATGTAAATTTGGCTAAACAAGGTATAGTACATATCACTTTTAAGTACATTAATTTTTATAAATTATTATTTTCGGTTTTTGCAGAATAGTGCAATTAAACTTTGTTATTATTGTAAGCTATAATTTTGGATACCAACTCTTGTCGAATAGATTTCAGATTGTAAAGTTTATACAGTTAGTTATATAATAAATAAGTTTAATATAGTTTTTAGTTTATAATGCAGCTGGATAGAGGCTGTGATGGGATAAAAATCTTAAGCCGGTTTTATACTAAGCGAATTTATTGGCGTGAATCGTGAGCGTTGGTTTATGCACATACGCATTCATATTTCTATTAGAGTTTCTAACTTTAGCACAATCAGTAGTTCAAACTGTTTCTACTTTTTGCAAAGCGAAAAAATGTGCAAAAATTAGAGCTCAGGAAGTGAACCGACGCTTTTGATTCAGGCGAATAAATTTGCCTAGTGAAAAACCTACTTTAGGCACAGCATAGAGATATTTTAACACCTCCAAGGGGAAAAGTTTGTTTATAATTGGTGCAAAATCTCAAAGAATCTGAACGCCAGTTAGTTTCTCAGGATTTTACTTAGCTCAGATTGGTTAAAATAAAAAAGAATGTCATACAAGTAGATATAAAAAGATACAAGTAGTTAATATAAAAAAGAATAAAAAAAGATACAAGTAGATTGAAAAAAAAATGTCATGAATAGGTTTCTAAACTGGTTATAAAGACCCATTAATTTCACATTGTATTGTTTAGATTTTTTTCTATTATTAGAATTATTTATATTTTCTTACAACACAACCAACTATAAAAATCTGTCTATGCACAAGCTCTCCTTTTGATTGACTCTGTGATGTTGTGTGTACCTTAAGAGGTGTCACATCCGTGAGGGAGCCTTTGTGACAGCCATAATGGTGATGTACATGCCCATGAGATGTGCAATGGACAGGCCCATGAGAGAATTAGAGATGCCCATGGGAGAATTAGGCCTACCAATGCGAGAATTAGACCTGCCCATGAGAGAATTAGACCTGCCCATGAGAGAATTAGACCTGCCCGTGAGAGAATTATACCCACCTTGACAGAATTAGGAGGGCCGTGAGGGAATTAGAACCACCCATGACAGAATCAGACAGGCCCATGAGAGTATTAGACAGGCCCATGATAGAATTAGACCCACTCATGAGAGAATTAGACCTACTTGTGAGAGGATTAGAAAGGCCCATGGAAAAATTAGGCCCACCAATTAGGGAATCAGACAGACCCATGAGAGTATTAGACAGGCCCATGATAGAATTAGACCCACTCATGAGAGAATTAGACCCACTTGTGAGAGGATTAGAAAGGCCCATGGAAAAATTAGGCCCACCAATTAGGGAATCAGACAGACCCATGAGAGTATTAGACCAACCAATGAGAGAATTACAGGCCCATCAGAGAATTAGACCAACCAATGAGAGAATTAGACCCACCCATAAGAGATTTAGGCAGGCCCATGAGAGAATTAGACCCACCCATGAGAGAATTAGACCTACTTATGAGAGACCCAATGGAGACACCTGACTTAAGCAGAAGTTTGGATACTATAAATTAACCTATACCTACCTACAGTCATTTTTACTCAGTGGAGATGAGTTATTTATAATGTTATGTGCAAATTGTAGAAATATATAACAGTAATCAGAAATTTTAATGCAAATCTTAGGCTGACATTGAGCATTTAACAGTAAGAACACAACACAAAGTATAAATATTGTTAAATTTTCATGCTTTTTTGCAGTACCTCTATAAAATTACTATAGTCTATTTGATTAGTTAAATCTGAGAAACGCTTGCAATAGCATATGCCTGCATACAGGTAATAATGACAGCTTTTTGTAATGTAGAACGGTCCACTGGTAGAAGTGCCACACAGTAGGTCTGTGTTGAAGTCTTATATCACCACTTTTAAAAAAAATGTTTATCTCAATTTTTTGTGGGATGCCAGTATTAAGTATTTAAGTTCATGTCAGCGAATACTTACGCTTTTCTATTTTTATGATACTAAGAAAATGCTTAAAGACCAAAGTATAAGCCTGATATATATAAAAAAAAAACCATTAGTGACATTGTTTTAATAGACCTGCAAATGGTAAAATTATTTGAGATTTTAAATTAAAGCTTTTTCCACACTATCAAATTTTCTTTGACAAAAAACTGTTGTCTGCCCATATATAGTCATGATGTGCCTATATATGGTCATGATGTGATGTCATCATGACCATATTTAGGCATGTCACATGTTTTTGTCAAATGATATTTGATAGTCTGGACAAGTATTATTGATGACTTGTGATAGCTGTGTCACGTAATGTTATAGTGCAAGATTTTTTCAGAATTCAAAGATGAAGTGTAATTATTTATTTAAAAATTAGTAGACTGATTATAATGTATATGAAATAAATATATTCAGTTTGTTGATATTGTCTTTAGATTGATTTTTTTTCTAGTTCATCTGTGGTTACCAAAGATGGCGTTCTCTGCGATTTTACGCGCAACAAATAGAAGCGTTGATTTGGCACAGAAAAGTAATCAGTTTTGTGAAAGGGCATCCTAGTCGTTGCCATGGATCTGAGATAGGGTGTTCGTGTTACATGTTCCTTATGTTCTAAAATAGAGGGCGCATTGTAAATCAGACGCTTCTATTTGTTACGCGTAAATGTAAAGTCGCGCGGTGTACGCTGTGGTCAAAGTTCAAAAGTTTTCAGTTTTGCAAGAGGCCGCCGTACACTTCGTTATTACAGAATTTGCACGCAGAAATCGCTATCTTGTGTTCATAAGATCTTTGGTGGTTACTTAAGAGCAGTATAGCTGTACTAAGGTCCCAAGTCATAGGAGTCTGCAAGCAACCAAAACCCTTCCGCAAAATAACCCACCTCCTGAATTTAAAATATTTTAAATATATTCAAAATATTGATTGCTTTTACAATTTAGTATTATTAAAAATTGTCTCTTTGGTGGTCAGCAGCCCATGGAATAAGCAAAATACTGTACAATAAATGTAAATAAAACTAGAAAGGGTGATAAAACTTCATTGGTTTTTGCAATAATTTTTATTCTAGAAGGTGTGTTAGGTGCTCATTAAACATTTATTTTGAGCTTCAAAAAGAGGTTGAAAAAGAACAGGAAAGGTGGGGTTCTGCCCTCCAAAAACAAAACAGCATCACTGTAATTGCCCTGTGTACACAGAGTCATCAGGGGTGGATCCAGAGAAAATCTGGGTATGGGGCCAGGCAATGTTTGAGATACTTTAGAAATGCTTTCCATATACACTGGTACATGAAGTAAGCTCCCTTTCCCCTTTTCTTTTCTTCTCTTATACAGTATTTATAATAATAATATAATAGTGTAGATTTGTATAGCGCCAGTATCCATCAAACAAGATGCTCAAGGCGCTTGATATGTGGACTAGTAGCTTGATCAGTGACTTTCTTTGTGTCTGTGCTACCCAGTAACCCAGTTCCAGCAACTCTCGTCCATCACTCTGGGGTATCCCCTACTTGTCTCGAATGACGTACTGGGTTCTTTATAGTGTACACGAGCCATTGTGTACACTTGGCCTACGGTTTATAGTCCTTTTCAAAGACTTGTTTTACTACCAGAACCATTGGCGTTTGTGCGTGCTGTTCAAACCAGTCCCAATATAATGGCTACCTATGGATGTTTTTAAACTGTATAGCCACACATACTGTATGCTTTATAGATCTTTGATTGGTGTATTTCGATTGGTTATTTACACTATTTTGTCACTGAAAATTTACTTTCATCAACACATTTTTTGTTCCATTCGTTTAGTCCCATTGCATGCCTCCACTTTATATAATGTTTTCATTAGTTGAAAGAAGATAGACAACTCCATTAATATGAAAGGTATACCTACATTTTTTCCCCCATAAAATATCAAATGATAAGGATTTATTTTTATTTAGGTGTGTTATAAAACGAATAATGAATGTTTTGCATTCGTGCAATGGAAAGGAAGTTTTCATTGGTCGAAACTTATGAAAATACTGCACTCATAAACACATTATTTGTATACTATAAAATTAACAACATTGACAACATACATTTCTATTGGATAATTTATTTGTTCTTTGATGGACTGAGGATATAGTTCATACATTGCTTCCAACTAACTGCAAATAAGTTTATTAATTTTGGAATTATATGCAAAATTGCGGAGACATTTTGACATTTAAAAAACATTGGATATTAACTGAAATTTTCATAAATCCAGTATTAATAGTTATATCAATTATATACTTAAGCCTAGTATATTTAATTTTTGTTCTAAAATGCTACAAATTGTAAAGGTTATAAAATGGTTTGTCTAAAATACATACAAAAATTCTTACAATGTGTTCAAACACAAGTCTATTTGACAGTGAACTGTAAGATCAAATAAGGCGCAATAGAAATTGCAGCATTATCAAATTGCATAGTACTAGTATAAGTGAGTATAAACAGCACTAACAGTATTAATTTGATAAAAAAATCTCTATTTCACTATTTGGAAAACTAATGAATAGATTGATGATAAACTTTTGGCAAAATATCTTATGATCAACTCAAAATATAAACAAATTAGTACACAAACTTAATAGTAGCACCATGTAACAGTGATTAAGGTATATGTCACTAACATATACCAATTTGTCTACAAAAATACTATTTGACAAAAAACTGTCTAAACACTAAGTACAATTAATGTTGGTTTACCTATAAACAAGAGATATAAAAATGAGTATATTAACAAAATGCAAACGTGATAAATAAAATTTGGTTTTAATGAATTGAGTATTTTCTGAAAACTGCAGCATTTGAGTCTTAACGAAGTTGAATTCTGAAATTGTTTACTTCTGTTTCCAAATTTACAGCTTACAATAATCAAATGTTTTGTACAGTTAAACATACTTAAAAATAAAAACCATAATGACAAGCTGAGTGTCTAAAGAAGAGACATTGCAACTTTACATTAGACAATTGGAGGACTGAAGAGTCAACGTTGTCCTCACCACAAGGAAAATGTGGCTTGCTTCTATTACAGGAAATTCCCCTTTTGTATATTGTCACCATAAGGGCAAGTCACCATCTTAAGTAAATGTCACTTGTTCCCATAAGGGTGGTAGTCATTACCGTTAAGGAGACTAGCTATTCCAATTACTGTCTCCACGGTGGAAGTCATTACCACTCCTGCAACACTCATACGGAGCTACACCTACAGGGGTGCATATCTACACCCCTACAAAAGATACATAGCTATCCCCTACAAGTTCAGATATGCCTACCACTATTATGATAGACACAAATTCAACATGCCAAAAAAATTATTCAAATGAAGTACAACTTTGTTGTTGATAGAATGATCCGAAATATTAAGAATATATAAATATATACCTGTACAAGTTAATCGCTTTTGACATAATGATAATAAACATTAAAAAATTGTTTGTCACAGGAAGTTTGCTATAAAAAAAACCTGAATACTGAATTTAATAAGTTTGATATACAACAGTTTGGATTTTATCAGGAGCACGATAAATGAGAAAGCCCTGATTATGTTGTTAATGGGTCTCTGCTGCACACTTTACATCTACCAACACGCTCTACTTGGTTTTGTTTAAGGGTCTCAGAGCTTGGCTTAGTGAACTGTCCATTGCGGTCGATGGTGGCCAGCCAGAAACTGTATGTTGTGGCATAGTAGTTGCATTTGCCATCACCGTGGCATTCAATAAATGGTGATGGGCGGAATTCTTCTAAGCAGGAGCCGGGAGATGCCAGCGATTGTCCAGAACCTTCAGCTCCTGCGCCAGTATGCTGAAGAAAAAAAAAACAAAAAACAAAATAAAAGATGTAGAATTATTGAGAATATCCAACCTCATTTTTCCCCTTACCTGTCCTTCCTTTTTTCCACTTACTCTATATGTATCTATCATCTATATTTCTAGATACCAAAGTTCATACATACCATAACAAAACTATAACCAATCCAGAGTTCTCTCCAGCCGGCTGGACAATCAGGTACAGCAACTGTTTGACTGTGCACCGCTAACGTTTGAGCTGTGGCCTCGCATACACTGCAACGGCTTACGAATGGACGCATGGCATTAGCTTTGATGGGGGCCATATCCATAGGCATGGGTTGGTTGGTTGAGAGCCAATAGGAGTAGTCATTACGGTTGGCAAAGTTACAGGTGTTTTGGATGTTACAGAACAAGAATGGCATTGTACTAAATCTCCTAAGGCAAGAGCCTGGTTGACCTGTAAATACACAAATAAATAATAAGTGTTAAAAACAATAACAAAATATAAACCTTAATCAGTATGTACTGTATTTGAATTTAACTTTACTACAAAACCAAATTATAGTAGCACAAGGTATTGTAAACAACAGAATTGTGAATAAACACACTGATTGTGGAAATATTCACATTCATGTCCACATTATGCAATATTGTATTTATTCTAGTTTAATTCTGAATTCTATATCCAAGCACAGAAAGTTTGTTTGGTGAATGATGAGCCCACCTGCATATGCAAATCAGTTAGTCATTGTTACTGTGTTTTTGTTAGCTGACTTGCCAATGTATACTTGGCTAGTGTAGCAGTGTGTTGCACAGTGCAAGGCAGTTGTATCTGCATTGGCATGTGCAGTGAGTTTTAACTTTCCTGTTTGGCTATTGTTTCCCCAATCCAGGTAATGTTTAATATTTTATCTATTAATTTGGTAGTTAATGCATGTGTAGGCTGGTACCAATTTTAAGCTATAGGCTGAATAGTCAAAGTTGCTGTCAGTCCGTAATTCATTGGCTGTGTAGTGCTTAGAGCTTATATCATATTACGTTTAAACTTATTTACAGAAGTTTTTTATTTAAATTTATAGTTTACCGAATGGACAAAGGCAATACAATAGAGATAAATGGAATATGCAACAAAGCATTTTAGCTTGTTTTGCAATTTGTTTCGTCCATGTTAAACCGATGGGATCCATGGACAACAGATAACAATGTGTGGATGGACAGCATTCAGAATTGTAGGAATTATTAGCACTTAAAGACGACTTATTTCCAGTGGGGTCCTTCTGGCGGTGACTGGGCAGTACACCGGAAGACAATCCCTCTTTTCAGAAGAGTGTACTGCGTTTATTAACGTGCACATAGGCCATAAAATGCACACAGGATCAACAGCTTAAACATCTCATCTGAAATGTGCTATACTAACTGAAATACAAGGAGAGCAGCGATGGGAATTGAACCAAGTCATCCCCACAGTTTAGTGCACACACAGTGGCTACCACCAGTTTTTAAGCTGCTCTCAATGGTGTCAATCTTCAATAAAGAGAGCACCCCAAGCTAACAAGAAAAGCAGTAGATTACCAACCTAAATCTTGGCCATGGGCGCGTTCATTTCCCTGTGCATACAAGAAGCTGTAACCATCCCACATCTTGGTGGTACCAGCTGGACACGTGGGCACCTGGATGGTCTGACTATGCCTCGTCAAGTAGAATCCGGCAGGTGGGGCTCCTGGGCCAGGTTGTCCATCACGTCCTTGTGAACCCTTGATCCCTTCAAGGCCTATAGGTCCTCTTGAACCTGAATTACAAATTATACAAAAGGTTTAAAAGATTATCATAAATGATTACTGATTACTGTTTTTGTATTTTCATTCTTTAAATTTCTGAGCTCAGTGTTTGACCAAGAGATAATTTTGCAACTTCTTGCGCTGTAGATTCCGGTTCAAACCCTGGCAGTGTTGGGTTTTAATTTAAGTCAGATTGCCCTGCTCCTTGAATAACCCTCGCATCATGTTGGGCGATGTCAGTACTGGGGCTGCTGCGGGTCCCCAGTCAAAAAATTTCCAATTTCAATACGTATTTGGAATTGGACAAGTAAAGCAATTTACTTTAATTTCTATATGAAATGCAAATATAGTGATATAATAAGATTATAAGACAGTCTACCAATAAAGACTGATACATCATTATTTAATTTATTCAGCTTCAGGCACTAGGGCCAAGGATATGACAAACAGTGAATTTAATCACTCTTCAAAGTGGCAATCCTGTCACAAGACAAACATATACACAAGATGCTCTTCATAGACTAAGTCTCATTATTTGGTTTAGGGAGTGCAGTTGTTTGTCATGAAACAAAAAAAATCCTGTTTACGTGACAGGAACTGAACCCAAGACCTTGGGATTGGAAGGCAAGCAGCTTAACCACCAAGCTATTCAACTTTTTATAAGGTCATCTACGGAAATCAAAAATTAAGGAAATGTGATAAAACTGAAAAAAAAAAAATGAGTGAATGATGTTTAAAAAAATAATAGTACACTTACCAGGGAATCCTGCACTTCCTTTGTCTCCCTTTAGCCCAGTTTGTCCTGGTGGTCCACGTAACCCACTGAACCCAGTTTCTCCCTTTTGTCCAGGCAATCCAGAGGTACCTGGAGGACCAGGATCTCCAGTTAGACCACGGACTCCTATAGGACCTGGGAAACCAGTGTTTCCCTTGATTCCTTTAATACCTGAAAATTAAGATAAAAGTATTTCATTAATTATTTATAAATACATCAAACAAGTCCCCCAAACAGTACAGCAATATTCCAACACTGGTCTGATCGTGGCAATGTCTGTCTCTTATACACATCTTATATATATATATATAAAATACAAAAAAGTACTAAATTGCAATTGTTCTTGTTTATCATTTTACTGGGTACAATGTTCTACGGACACTTCTAAAACTAGAATTTTACATATAACTCAGTATCTGTACTTTAGATGTACAGCAGGTCATATGTGAGGTTTCACCACGAAATGCAATGCATCGTTGGTGATCATATTAAGATATTCGCCAAAATAGGTCAAACTCAACATTTTTACAAAATTTTTATTTTAATGATTTTAAATAACTTGATACTTATATTTTATGAATGTATACTTTTTACGTGTGTTCTCTGCACATGTTCTGTAATTCTAGTCCTATTGTTTGTACAGGTTAGTTTATCTTTGAGGCCGATTTTCTCAAAATGTGGTTCTCATACACCTAAAGTTTAAATGCTCACATCTCTGGATCTACTTATCCTAGGAAAACCATTCAAGAACCAAATTAAAGCTTATAATGTGATCTATCCAAAATTTTTAATTCTCTAACTATGAGACTCATTTTGTGGTGAGACTTCACATATTTATATAATCATATTTTTATTTACCTGTAATCAATTTAATGTGCAATTTTGGACCCCATTGGAAATGGGCTAGTCTCTGGCCTAATGAGTGTTCCTGATGGACATTACATTCACAAATCATTTTTTATCTTGTATGTGTACGTTGAGCATCGAATAAAATCAATCAATCATTTCTTGTCATCTTGTTTAGTTCCTTGTTTATTATTGCTACTCATGCAGACTCACCTGGATTTCCTCTTGGTCCTTCTTGTCCTGGATTTCCTCGACGTCCAAGTTGCCCAGGAGGACCACTTGGACCCGGTGCTCCAGGTTCTCCCTTGCTACATGGAAAGCCTGGGTTTCCTCTGGGACCTTCCACTCCCTTGTCTCCCTTATCTCCAACACTACCAGATGTACCCTAATTACAAATACAAAGAATGCAAACAGTGCCACTGACAGCTCATAGGCCTATTTCAGACTCTAGAGGTGGATAAACCCCGGCTTAACTCACCAGGTTTCTCCACCTGCCTTTTTTAACTTTTCTAAGCCGGTCCTTAATCACTGGGGGGGGGGGGGTCTGTCACTTTGGCCTCATGTAAAAAAATGACCAATCAGCATTCAATTACGTATGCTTTGAGTGAGCGTACGTTTCGTGCACAATGTTGCGAAACTCGTTCCCTGGTTACGGTTCATGAATATGCAAATTCTCATGGCTGCCTAATCCTGCTAGTCTGAAACACCCGACAAAGTTAAGCCGGGCTTAACGTAAGCCATAAAACATAGCCATAACAGTTAAGATAAACATTATTGTCAGTATTTTAGAAGTATACATTCAAGTAGACTGAAATTGAACTGTTGGCAAAGGCTGCATATTTAAGGTTATTCACTGATGATAACGGTGTGGAGCAGTGGTTTGATGGCTATGTTCTGCCTTTTAATCCCAAATTCATTTAAATTTAATTTTTTTTTACAACCACATGCTAAGCATTGTATACTTAGAGCACCATTATAAAGCATCAAAACATCAAAATGATCAACATTGTTTGGTAGACCAACATCATAAACACTCCACAAAAAGTTTGGGACCATGGCGAGACAGCCATATATCGCCAAGGTATTCTGGCATACCAACATGATATTTTTTCCCAGAAATTTCAAGGTGTTATTTGGATGTTTCATATATGTTGGGATATCACTGTCTTGGTAGGATTTATACCTAACAGCAGGATTCTAGTGGTTTATTGACACACATGTAAATTGTTTGTTTTAAAAAAATTTTTTTTTATAATCTTACAAGCGTTGTTAATTACCCTCAGTAGTAAATGTGCACATTGAGTAATGCCATCGTCATAGTGCCACTGAATATTGCATCCTGCCGTCGATATTGGTGCTATAGTTTGCATAGTAAATTGCATAATTATTGGTTTGAAAAAGTTTATAACTGCGTAAACATTTGAGTCTGTGGCTCTTAGTGTATGTATTTTCTTGTTTTTTGTTTTTTTTTTCATTTGTGTATATCAAATTCATCAAACCAAAGTACAGTCACAGGCGTTTGTGACACAAGCTTTTTATACGCACACAACTCATTAAAAAAGTGTTGCCGTGTACAAATAACGCTTGTATGTGGCTAGAATCTACTGTCACTACCTACCGGAACACCTCTTGAACCTGTGTCTCCCTTAATTCCAATGCCTGGGCGGCCAACTTCACCCTTCTGGCCAATGTCTCCTGGTAGACCAATAAGACCATCTGAGCCTTTTGGTCCAGGGTTTCCTAAGGTCAAACAAACCAATAAAAACAATGCTAGTTAATTCTTGTTCAAGATATTACAAATTTGTATTATTTTTATATCGTAGCTTTGTACACATTCATGTTTTATATACCGTAGGCATGTTTATAATTAATAATATCAATAAGAAGAATTCTGTTTGTTAATTTTTGTATGCAGATGTCTATTTTAATTTAATCTTTATTTACGTTTTGTTAGCTGCCAGTTTTGAAAGTACCAGTTTTAAACTTACAGTATATCTGTATTCCCATGTAAATCTAAAGAAATGTATTATAGTGTTAAAATAATATATATTACTAGAAGTGTTCTAAAATATTAATTGAATTATTTCCTGAAGGAAGATTTGACTCATTTAATTTAAATTTGTAAAAACTAAAAAGCATAATTTGATGGACTGTAAGCCATATACATAGGTGGTGAACTGGATAGGTATAGTTTAGGAAAATAGCCTCATGAGTTATAGAAAAGATAAAGGGCCACTTGAAAGATAGGCTGGTGTTTTATTTACAGCTGTCTCACCACTGCTACTACTACTGCCACCACCACCCCCATCATCATCATCACAATCATCAATTAAAAAAAAAAAAAAAAAATCATACCGTTTTGACCATTTGGGCCTCGTTCGCCTTTATCACCCTTTTGTGCTGAGCATGGTAATGCATCTAATCCAGGTCTACCCTTCTCTCCACGTTGCCCAGGGAAACCTTTCTGTCCTCTTGGTCCTGGTACTCCATCAATGCCATCTCTTCCCTCAGGTCCAATTCTTCCAGGTTGTCCTTTACTGCCTGGTCTCCCATCAAGCCCAGGATTTCCATCTCTACCTGGTCTTCCAAGCAGTCCTCGCAGACCTTTTTCACCTTTCTCACCTTCTGCTCCATCTTCTCCCGAGGGGCCTCGTGCTCCTTTAGTCCCCGTAGGTCCAATTGGACCCATTGGGCCTTCACTGCCTGGAGTACCTGGGATCCCGGCATCACCTTTATCACCTTTAACCCCACTTCCACCATTACGTCCTGGAGCACCTGAAATCACGATATGAAAATGAGATCAATGCAAATCCGAATCCAAGGTAAGTGTTTATTATTTAAATTACAATACTAGCAATTTGGCAATCTCAATGCCTTCACCACCGATACATTTGCACATTGATGGTGAAATGCGCTAAAACAAGGCCACCTATATTTCCATCATTCATGCGCATATGTTGAGAGAATTTCAAGCATATATGCTGTGCACGCTCTTTTGAAGGTGCGCCATGTTCATAATTGTGCGTGAATACATTTTTAGCATTGGGTTTGAAGTGGCACTACTTTTTGTGAAATACAGAACATGTACATTCCAGATTTTTCAAATTTACCTTTTTGTCCACGTGGACCTCGCTCTCCTTTCTGTCCCGGACGTCCAAAACCGGGCTCACCTTTTTCACCGGGCCCACCTGGATTTCCATTTACACCATTAAGTCCCTAAATTGAGTTAAAAATACAATGTTAAAGGTTAAATTTTAATTTAGGCTAAAATATTTTACAGAGGATAATTATAAAACGTATGTGAAGACTAACAAATCATCATCATTAACACTATCACCATCGTCACACCAGTGTACTATTGCTGATTGTTAGATGGAGTAATTAGCATAAGAATGTGGCAATAAATTATTATATACTTTAGTACAGAGAAGCTGTAATACTTTTACTCCTAACTTTGGCAATTAGTAAGTTGATTCCAGTGAATGACCTATAATTTTAAAGCTTATTATGGCATACAATAATGCCACATTCTTATGCTAATTACTCAGTTAATATTTAGTGAGAGCACATCTGGTTTTGGGATGGCAAACCTGATATGATACAGTACATTGATAAATGATTGTCAGCATAAAAAAAATATAATTATGATTTGCAATGTCAAGCTCACAGTTAATATAAAATAATGGAACTTACCGGTGAGCCATTTAACCCAGTTGCACCTGGTATGCCAATCATTCCCTTCACACCTTTCTCACCTGGCTGTCCTTGAAGTCCTGGCCCTCCATCCTGACCTCTGACCCCTCTATCACCTTTCACTCCCTCATTTCCTGCAAAATATATGTATTTAAAAAAATTTAATCCACACCAAACAAAGCCCGAAAGCCATTTCTAGGTAAAGGGGTTACTTTTATGAAGGGAAAGAGAAACCTAACAGATGCAAAACACCTATACAGAGTTGTGAGCCCTAACAAACAACAATGACAAAGCACACAAAAAAAAGTTTTGACAAACTACAAACATTTTCTACATTAAAAACATACATTTTAAAAATAATTAAAAAATATATAAAGTTGAATATTAAAAGCATGTTCAGAAATATTAGAATTATGAAATTTCACCAGGTAAGTTGTTCCAAAGATGAGCAGCATTTGGGATATATTAATTATGAATATATTTGGTTCTACGCTGGTATATCTTATATACCTTGAAATGCTTGCACCTAGCGAGAGCAACTTCACAGCCTGTCAACGACGCCAGCTGAGGTATGTAAACATAGCTAGCTGAGATTGGTCAGCGTATGGTTCGAACTTCTAACCTCAGGTTCAAAAACCAGAATGAAAACTGCTGCGCTAAACCGCCTTCTCCGATGCATAGTAAAATGTACAGTAAAAGTGTACGGTAAAATGGCCATTTTATGTACCCCTTGGTACCAACTTGGTAAACAGAAAAATTTGTCAATTTCCACTAGCTAGCTATCTTCTGCTATTGACCGCCTTTGGTAAGGTATGAATGTTCACACAAAAACCAATGATTCAGCAGCATGGCCTGCCATGCTAGCCTAGCCTAAATTTAAATTTACCTTTAATAAGTCAAAAGCATTGTAATCGCTAGCATTCTCTGTTTAAAAAAAAACATCTGTAGGTTAATGTGGGCCATTTTATCATGTTCTTTCTAGTTTTAGATCATGTTGTTTACATGCACTTTGCGCTCATCTGGCCTTTTTTGACCCCAACGCTCTTTAAAAAAATTCGACATGACCCTGGTCACCCATCCGGTTTCTAAAAGCATGTGCACTCATTTCGTTGAATTGTGTTGGCAGGTTGTTGAGGTTATAATGAACTAAATTAACTAATATAGCGATTAATATGGCAGAAATTGAAAGGAATAATTCAACTATTAATAAATACAACAAACATAATTTTGCACATGCATAATTATCACTTGAGAAAAATGTACAGAATCACATTTTTCTTTGAACGTTATTATTTGGTCTATGATGATGATGATGACATTGAGAGCAAAGATCATTTGTAAAGTTGACTAAACCTAAAACGTTTTGTTTTACTGTAATTTAATTGATAATGTTTATTGCTGGGTTGCATACTGAAAAAAATATACAATTGTTTTGATATTGCTAGCCTCTTATGTTCTACCTAAACACAAATTATTATAAAATGCTTACCTTCAGCGCCTGGGGCTCCACGAGGGCCTGGAGGACCACGTAAACCAGGCAACCCTGGAGTGCCATTATCACCTTTTTCACCAGGTATGCCTCTCTCTCCTTGAGGGCCTGGTGCTCCATCAATGCCTGGTACACCGGTTTCTCCTACTTCACCACTATTACCATCTCTACCACGAGGACCTAAAATGAAACGGTCAAACGGTCAGTAATAATATTATTACCATTAACTTTATTTATTAGAACTAGAAATTGCAAATTGCAAGTTAAGTGCTGTGAAGTACAACTGCATATAAATGTTCTTCGAACAAAATTATTTATGCAAGTCAAGTGAAAATAATGAATAATAAAAATATAACAAATAATATGAGACACAACCCATTGTCTATATTAGAACACTTCTCATTTTTTTTGTCAAGAAGTGCATAAAGTGGTGAATTATGGTTTAGGTTTTTTTTAAATAAAGTTTCAAAAATTTCTATGTATGGGGAAAATGTAGTTGATTACCAAAGGTTACAAT